GCTCCAAATCTGCGACCGGGCGCTTTATGGATCCGTCGTCGAAGTGCCAGGCTTCGAGAGTATGGAGGAGGCTATGGTTAAAGACGATGAGACGATGAGACGATGCATGTATGACGCAGTAATGACGCAGTAATGCCGTGACAACGCGCTATGCCTCAACGCCGCGCGCCTCTCTTTCACTTTCAAAACCGACGCAGCGAGCAACGACAGCGAGCTATACTTGTTAGTGAGCGCGTTGGTAATGATGTAACTTTAAAAAGAGTTTTATGCGTAAAGACAGGGGACGGGACGACACAGCTATCCGAGCAGAGTTACCCAGGGCTCCCCCAGCTTGCTTTCTATGTCATTTCAGAAAAACAAAGAGTGCCATTCGAATTGGGGGGGGGGGGGGGGGGAACAGGAGGCAATGTTGTGTTGTTTCAGGACAAATAGAAACAGCAATGTTATTTCACGTTGCAAAGCAGTCGACTCTCCCAGCGACACCCCAGAGATTTTCTAGAGCTCTGCTTTATGCAAGCTCGCCGTTTTTCCAGTGGCATCTTCAGCCTTGATGTGCATATACGTCTACTATGGAGAGGCCCGCACCTGATATGATAACCAGATTTAAAACGTCAACGTGCTGGCAGTTTTAAATAGAAGAAGAGCAATCACACTATCGTTGACTGTAGCGCTATTCACAAGGGTTACCAGTCAAGAAACAAATATCTTCTTATACTATAGCTTTTACTTTTTTGATCATTTGTATGGCATAATTATAAAGAATGACTTGTATTTTACGGTATTTTCTGACGGCCAGAAGTTCCAGCTGATATCTTTACCTTTGGCAGTTGTTCCTGCTGAGCGAAAGTTCGTGCAGCTGAGGTGAATCTTTGAGCAAAGCTCGAGCTTATAGTCTAGTAGGGGTATATTGGCATTGCGGCTGATTTACGTGAGAAAGGACCGATGAGCTAACATTTAGACGAAGCAATTCTCAGTTCAGACGAAAACAGAATATTGCAAAATGTGTGAACAGTTTTATCGGTTGCTCGCTTTTGAAATTCCTATATATCCGTTGCTAGTTGAAAGATCTGGTTGTGTCGTCCTTGTTTTATATATTTATTATTTCTTTAATCCTGACAGGCACCAACGCGCTCTTCATCCATCGATACGTTATATGAGACGAGCCCATTTCAAAGCGGGAATGAATCGACGATATGAAACTATTATTTGTGAGGCGTGCTCGGGGCACGGGCGCTCGAAGCCACGGGATGCTTGCGGGCCGTGTCCCAGAGAGTCGCGGGCTGCGTGTTGGAGATCCCTGGTTCAGATAATAGGTTTGAGTCGATCCATGTATAGACCATAGTGATGCCATGGCAACGCGCAATGCCTTGTTAGCGCTGCCGCGCGCCCGCCTTTCACTTTCATGAGTATATGACCGCGGCCGATGCCGCAAACAATTCCAAAGTAACCCCCCCCCCCCCCCCCCCCCATAACAGCCATATCCAACATCACGTAACCTAGAGCTACGGGAATCTCAAGGCCAAACGCAGACAGTCACATCATCCCCTAAGCGCTGGATTGACTCTGATGACTTGTAGCGTCCGCATGATACATCTCGGCTATTCAGTGACCTCCTTTTTTTATGTGCTTGCTGATTGCACGGAATTCTGCATCGCTCGGAAACTGTGCATGGCAGCCGCCATAACATATACCTTTCGTTTTCGTTTCCTCTTATTCCTATTACGTCACTTCACCATTACCATAGCATGTCAGGTTATTCCATTTAGCGCTCTCAGGGCGGCGCCATTTCGTTCGACCGCAGCGCCCTCTCCACACATCCGGGAAGTTCAGTAGTTTCAGCGGGGTAAAACGAGAGAGAGGGCACGCGCCCAATTCCGGTAGCAGACGACAAACCGGGAGGTTGCCGCTCTCCATCTTTGGGCTGTACCGGAGAGCTGTACCGAACATCGAACTCTCGCTCGTGGCTGCCGTTGTGAAGTGGTTCGCGTTCTTAGAATATTTATAGCTACTCCATAATCAGCCTATAGCGCTCTGTTGTCTTATTTCAGGATCAACTAGCGTATATTTGTTT